TGGCCGCTCCCGGCCACCGCAGGCTCGACCTGCTGGGCTCTGGCGATCCTTCCGCCTCAGCCTTCTAAGTAGCTGGAACTACAGGCACGTGCTACCACGCCTGGCTAATTTTTGATTTATTGTAGAGATGAGGTCTTGCCAAGTTGCCCAGGCGGGTCTTCAACCCATGGGCTCAGGCAATCCACTTACCTCGGCCTCCCAAAGTGCTGGGATTATAGGCTGAGCCACCGAGCCCGGCCCAAACCCATTTTTACAGATGGGAAATTGACACCTCAGAGCATCTGAGACATTAAAACAACAAACAACTTCCTGTTTTTGAACATTTGCTACAGGCTAGATACTTTTAAAGGTTCATTTCTAGAACCCAGGTTCTATTCCTAACAACTTAGAGGACTTCTGCAAAGCAAGTACCATCTCCACTTTATAGACGAGGCTCAGAGAGGAGATATGACTTGCCAAGCCACACAGTGAGAAACCCATACTCTTCCCATAATGGTATACTGTCTTTTTCTCTGTTAGAGAACTAGCCTTTACCCCTTCTCTGCTGTCTTTATTCTGATAGCTGTGGCTGGAGGCCATGGTCTTCTTGACTCCATCTAATAGCTGGGACTGTCCTGTCTAGAATTAGACTCTGGAGCAAAAGAAAATTGCATAATTATTTTCTCTTTTTTGTTCCTTCCCTCACAGTGCTCAGGAAAGGGCAAACATCTCCTTGTAATTATCAGGGTAACAATGGTGGTGGAGATGATGTTGAGAATGGTGATTATAGTGGTGTTTTTTGGTGACAGTGGTAGTGGAGGAGGAGATCGTGGAGGTGGTGAGGATTGAGGTGATGGTGGTGGTGGTGCTGATGATTGTAATGGTGGTGGTGGTGATTGTGGTGATGGTGGTGGTGATGGTGGTGATGGGGACGATAGTGATGATTGTGGTGATGGTGTGATGGTGGCGGTCATGGTGGTAGTGAAGGAAGAAAATTGGGGTGGTAACAGTGGCGATTAATAAGATGATATTGGTGATGATAGAGGCAGTGATGGTGGTAATGGTAATTATGGTAATGTTAGATGGTTAACGATAGTGATACTCTCGTCCCAGGTTCGAGACTTCCCTTAGCAAAGGTGTCACGTTTGGCCTGGGATCACTCAGCTTCACTCTTCTTCAAGGATCTACATGCCACAGATTAGATGACACCTTCTTTTTTCTCTTTCCAGTGACTCACTGGAAGAAGTAATGAGGTTTAAATTGGACCATCTGACTCTCCCACCTCAAGCCAAATGTTTCTGAAGACATGGAGGGGAGCCAGTCAGGGACTCTGTCATGGTGACACCTGACAGTGGGGCCAGTCCTTGATGTGAGGACATCCATCATGGCAGGAGGAGCCTGGTCTCTCAGCAAATTCTTGTAGCCTTCCTAGCTCTGACACTGTTTAAACCAGAGGTTGGCAAATGTTTTCTGTAAAAAAAAGGAGTAAATATTTTTTGGGTTTGTGAGCCATATGGTCTTTGTCACAACTATTCAACTCTGTAGTATGAAAGCTGCCACACAGAATAAACAAATGAATGTGGCTGTGTTCCAATAAAACTTTTTTTTTTTGACAACAGGCTCTCACTCTGTCATCTAAGCTGGAGTACAGTGGTGTAATCATGGCTCACTGTAACCTCGAACTCCTGGGCTCAAGTGATCCTCCTACTTCAGCCTCCTGAGCAGCTGGGATTATAGTGCATGCCCCCATACCCAGTTAATTATTTCCTTTTTTGTAGTGATGGGGTATCACTATGTTGCCCGGGCTGGTCTCAAACCCTTGGCTTCAAGTGACCCTTCCTCCTTAGCCTCCCAAAGTGCTGAGATTACAGGCATGAACCACCGCACCTGGCCTAATAAAGTTATATTTACAAAATTAGACAGTGTGCTCGGTTTGGCTTATGGGCCATAAGTTTGTCAACCCTTGGTCTAAATCCTCCCTGCCCTCTCTCCTGAAACCCTGGTTTCCTTCCGGCCTCTCTCTCCCACCACTCATTCTGTAGTACTCACTCCTAAGCACTCCCCAGAAGCCGACTCCTTCTTTTCCTCATGTCTCTGATTCTGAGATTTAGAGCTCAGGATTACTTCCTTCTTTTTACTCCCCTGAGGGGTCCCTTCTTGCCAGTGCAGTGGCTCAAGCCTGTAAACCCAGCACTTTGGGAGGCTGAGGCGAGAGGATTGATTGAGTCCAGCAGGGGTTGAAGACTAGCCTGGGCAACTTGGTGAGACCTCCTTTCTACAACAAATAAAAAATTAGCTGGGCATGATGCATGCCTGTAGTTCTAGCTACTTGGAAGGCTGAGGTGGAAGGATGGTCTGAGCCCAGAAGTTCGAAGCTGTGGTAGCCGTGAGTGTGTCGTCTCCATTCAGTGAAGAGTACTGTGAGTCTGATGGAACTTTGTTTTGTGGGTGATGTGACAACAGATAGTAAATGATCCCTGCTAAACAAACACCCCAGAACTTGTGCATCTAGGTGAATGCTGCTTTGAAGAGGATCCCTTGCATGACCTTATCCTCATTCCACAGCACCATTATTGGTCAAAATGTCTTGAGAGTTGCTTTCAGACATTAAGTCTGTTGACTGTCTTTGGTGGTGACATAGACATGGTTTTTTGAGAATGTACAGGCAGAAATATACTGTCTGGAAATGGTTAAGAGTCTTCCAGAGCTGGGTGTGGAGAAGAAGGCTGTCGATCTGATGGCTTTTCTTGTGGAGCTATGGAATTGAGCCTGACAGTGGCTTTCTGAGTGACATTCTAAAAGAACATTCTGTGTACCTCATATTCTGAGATATGAAGAGCACCACCAGGAGTCCTCTTTGCGTGACAGACAGGCTCCTTAGTAAGATGGCAGCCACCTGCTCCAAGGTTGGCAGTAGGCATGGTTGTGGTGATGGTACAGAATTTCTACATCAAGAGGCTGTTCTTCTATTCCCCATAAAAGGCACCTTCCTCATGAGGGTCTTTCACTACTGACTGTTCCTCTACCACAGTCAGCTGAGAAGGGAGAAGGGAGGCAGCTGTGCTCCATTTCTGTGCATTTAATGCTCTACCCTGAGGCGCGTGGACAAACACAGAAGCACCTGTGTTACTGAGGCCAGGCTGGACCATCCGGAAGAGGCTTTATTACAGATGCAGGGATGGCAGAACTGACAGATCTTTAGTTTGTGGTCACTACTCCAGCTGCCTCCTCAGCTAGCTCTGGGCCTCTTCCTCCCTCTTCCCCTGCCACTTGAGGATACCTTAAAGTAAGCATAGCCTGCGTGCAATCCAGAGTCAAGACTAGCAGGAAGGAGGTGGATGAAGACTGCTACATTAAAAAGGGGAGAAGGAATTGAAGACTGGCCCAAGCCCTAACAGGGGTACCTGGTGAATCAGGGCATTGGGTTGAGGGCTGAGGAGAAATACTTTCGTGGAGGAATGCTATGAATGCATGACTAGGTGGTCTTCCTTAATGAGCAGGCTGGCCCAGCACCTGGCAAACTCATCACAAATTTCTCAACAGAGAGCACTGCAAACTTGAATAAGGAAATTGAGCTTTGGAGTCTATGAGAGTAATCATTTTTGCCCTAGACAGGTAGACAATAAGAACACGGCTCCTGCAGAGGAGGAAAGTAGGACTGATTTGAACCCCTGGGATCAACTGGCATCAGATAGCTTTGGCACTGGTAGCCATTTCCTTACATGTGGCCTGAGGTGAACAAGTGTTAGCACTGGAAGAAACGTGACCACCCAAGGTGATGCTTTGTTATTTCCACAGAGATAGGAAGAAGATTCTGTAATATCAGAATCAATAGATAATCTGAAATGTCATTTAGCTGGTTGTTTTCACTTCTTCTCTACAGAATTTTCTATGTTAGGATTTTAGCCAAACTTTTTATTTCAATGACTTTAATTAGAAGAAATAGAGAATGGGTAGCCCAGAAATGTGCTGAGGTGCTCTGCTTACACTAGAATGAAAACTGAGAACCCACCATGTGCCAGTCGAATACACGAGGTATTACAGGTATGTTATCTCATTCACTTAAATCTTCACGACATTCCTGGAGAGGGAGCTGACTGAGTGAGTCTTAGAGTGAACTGATCCAAGGCTGTGAACTAGGGAGAGCAGTGTTGTGACCAGGTCACTGCTCAGTCCTCCCCGTCACATTTCCTTTTGGATAAGTTGACACCCACTGAACGCTCACCTAGGGTACAGCATTGTTCAAGATGGATGTGTATGGTGGGCATGTACAACGCACTGTAGTTCTTAAGTCTTCTTTCTCCCCTACTGAGCAGACCAGAGCTCCACTGAGCTCAATGAAGTGAGTTGAAGGCCTTGGTGTTTTATTCATATACATAGCCACAGCTTGTCTTTCAAATGTGAAGGACACTGATATATGTGCATGTCATGTTTGGCTTGTAAGAGTTCCTCGGTTTATGCTTCTTCTTTTTTTTTTTTTTTGAGTTGGAGTCTCACTCTGTCACCCAGACTGGAGTGCAGTGGCCGCTCCCAGTCACTGCAGCCTCGACCTGCTAGGCTCAGGTGATCCCTCTGCCTCAGCCTTCCAAGTAGCTGAAACTACAGGCGCGCGCTACCACGCCCAGCTAATTTTTGATTTATTGTAGAGATGAGGTCTTGCCAAGTTGCCCAGGCGGGTCTCGAACCCGCAGGCTCAGGCAATCCACTCACCTCAGTCTCCCAAAGCGAGGGATTACAGGCTGAGCCACTGAGCCTGGCTGGTTTATGCTTCTATTCATGCCTGACTGTGCGGTAGTGTGTTTGTGTGTATTTCTGGGTGACTGTGAGTGTGTGAGATAGTGGGTTCGTGTGTATATGTTATGGAAGTGGTAAGTGTCCCTCCATGAGCCCTTTTGTGTGGAAGTCCCTCCTCCCACCTGACAGGAGTGGAGAATAGCTGGTCCTGCCAGACTCTGGCTTTCCAAAGGCCGGGCAGTGCCTGGCATAGGAATTCAGCAGACAAGAAAGCCAAGTAGAGTTACCAGCCAGTTCTTCTCCTGGGTATGGAATAACCCAGAAGTGCAGGAGCAATGACCATCATGCCAGGCAGGCTTGTAGGCAGCCAAGGAGACGGCCAGTTGCTGCTGGTGGGGGTGGACAAGACTTGACAACCTAAGGTGGGGGGAAGGTGACCAAGAACATTGAGGACGAAATTCAGAAATGCCTCCTAACTGGCACAGAAGAGGCAGAATGACCGGCATTAGGGGGACTGTCTGGCCTGGAGGAGTATTGCAGATGGGCATGAGCAATGGCTTAAAGGATGCCAGCAAAGATGGCTGACAACATGGGCTACAAGTGAACCCTCCCCCAGTGGTGTCCCACTCTCTGTGGATTTCAGTGTTTATGCCATGCTCAGTGGACAGATGCCCCGATCAGTGTCCATGTTCAGTCATTTAGTGCCTGCATGGGCCCAGCTTTGTGCTAGGCGTGGTGGGGGGGATCTGACCCTGCCATCTTGCTGGGGTTCAGAGCCAGGTTGGAGGACAAGATGTGCCCTTCAGAGACAGTTGCATGACTCACTCCTCTCCCTGGAGACACCGTTTTTACTTCCAAGGAGTTCCCAGTGTCCTTCTCTGGCTTCATGGAAAGAGGAAGGAGGCAGTTCCACCATGAAGGTCTAAGTTGTTCCCCACGATCTCCTCATTAAGGTAGAATGAGTACAGGATTGGAGGGAGCCCCTCTGGGCCTCCCAGAGGTGCTCTACCATGCCTCCCACAGCAGGGCCAGAGGGTCTGTGTTTCAGAGTGAGCAGAGGATGGGACACAGGAGCTGGACAGCATGTAGCATGAGAGGGTCAGCCTGACCACCCCGGCTCCCAGCTCCCTCCTCCCCCGTAATACCCTTCCTCACTCCAGGGGAGGTCCCATTGCCTGGAGCTCAGACCACTAGGGAGTGTCTCCCTCTCTGGCCCACTTACTCTTCCCCTTGATCTTACTCTATCTCTGGACCTGGCCACCCTTTACTCCAGTAAAGCCCAGAATCTCCCTCCTTACCTCCTGGGATGCAGAACTCTAGGTGGAAGCCTCTGTCTTTCAAGGTGCACCCATCCTAGTGGAAGGAGAAGAGGAGCTGTGAGGCTGACCTCTGGGGTTGCAGCTTTGCCTGACATCTCAGGGTCACCAGTCTTCCCTCAGGGAGCTTGGGAGAAGCTTGGGAGAGGAGACAGTGCTCAGCACAGGAGAGGGGAACAGCTCTGGGGAGATGCCAGCTTCAGCTCAGGACACTGAAGCCCCAGAAGGCTGAGGACTGAGCTTCTGCACAGCTTGGGTTGCGGCCCTGTGACTCCAGTCAGAGACAGTTTCACCCAGGACTCGTCCTCTTGTCCTCACCCACAAGCCCTGAGATGATTCCACACAGCCAAGCCCTTCTGAAATCCTGGAAGTTAGAGCCAGAAGGACCTTAGAGGTCATGGAGTCCACAGAGGGGAGGGGTGAGCAGCTGGGCTGGCCCAGGGTCTTCCTAGGCCCCTCAGGGCATCGAGTCCCTTTCTGCTAGCTTCAGATGTGTCCCACGCAGTTAGGGGACATTTGGACAGTATGAGGGGACTCCACAGGGCCCCACACATTGGCCCAACACCAGGAGCAGCCAGAGAGAGGGGTCATGCTTAGAGAGCTACTGACCTCTGGAGACTGGACCCCTGAGTGGCACCCTCCTGCCCCACCAACTCCCATGCTGGTGACTCACCTTGGACTTGAACCTTGACCATCTTTTGAAGTTTGTGTGAACATCTGCCACCTGCCCAATGCAGCCGTACTGGCCACTGCTTTTCACCATTGCTGTCCCCATGGGCAGAGTCTGATTGTCTTAGAGAAATGAAGGACTCCTTCATCTTTGTGGACCTTCACCAAGGACAGTGCTGTGTCCTTCCATCCCTGGCCTCGCAGAGTCGGGGCTTCTCCTTCAAACACAGGCTTTGGCCAGGCTTGGAGGTACAGCCAGGCTAGACAGAGAGACAGGGTCAGCCCTGGAGCTGCAGGTCCCGGGGATCACTTTCTCCCTCTGTCCTCCAGCCCAAGGGCTCCCGCTGGGGATGGAGCTCCTGGACAGCCCCTGCGCCGTCACAGCACCACTGTCTCCAGCCCTTCATGCCAGCCAGGGCAGAGCAGACCTGGACTTTTTTTTTTTTTTAGCTTCCTTCCTTCCTTTCCTTCTTCACTGCTTCCCCTTGCCTTTTGGCCTTTATTTCCTTCCCTCCCCCCCCCCCCCCCGCCGTACCTCCTTTCTGGGTTTCTTCCCTCCCACCCTCCTTGTTTCCTTTTATACAGCACTTTCCTCCCCTTCCTTGCCAGGCTTGGCTTAATTTGGGTTCTTTCCCTCCATTATCTTGTCTCATTTATCCTGACTCAATTTCCAATAGCATAGATTGACTTCCTATTCTCTGGCTACCTCAGTGTGACATTTTCTGTACCTGTAACCCTGTCCATGGGTGGGGGGGGGCGGCACCGCAGGGTGCATGTAGGGGCTGGGGAATGTTGGAGTTGCTGCAGCTTGGGCTCCCACCCTTCTGCCTTCCTTGTCAGGCTTCCCTAGGCCCAGCCTCTGTCTCCTCCCTCAGCAGGGCATTTCATCTTCCACCACAGTCATGGAAGGGGTCTGTCCTCTATGTCCTGAAATGCATTCTGTGCCCTGATGTGAACAAGAGAAGAGTTCCCAGGGATCCAGTATCATCTGTAGGGCAGCCCCAGGCTGGGCCTACCCTCAAGCATACAGCCAGACACCATCGGTCCCAGACAGCCAGAGGAGCCAGGACTGATGGCTAAGAGGAATGGTGAGTAATCAATCAGTCAGGAGCCTGAAGTGAGCCCTGCAATCCTGTCCTTGCTTGGATCTCCCTGGATCCTCAGCACCCACTCTCCTCATCCTGGAAGTAACGATGCTTGCAGGGTTCCTGAACAGCAAGCCTTGCGTCCGCAACTGTTCTTTCCAGCAGCACCAAGAATTGATTTGAATTCCCCCTCTCAGCATCACAGAATAGATAGGGACTCTGGTTATCTTACTCATTGCCTTGTTATATATACCTAGGATCTGAGTCTGGAACGTAGTCTGGGTTCGGTATGTATCTGTTGAATAAATGCATGAATGCTTTCCTTTGTGTCCAGTTGTGTGAGGTGAGGAACAAAAAGTAGCAGATATAGGACTAGACTCTTATTCAAATGTGCCTGAGAGTCCTTCCACACCCACAGGAGAACTCATATAGCAAGGGCAGGACCTGACTCTGTGGTCCAGTTAGCCAGAGCTCTGGGTAGCAGGGCATGGAAGTGATTAGATTGAGGAGGCAAGGTTCCCTGAAAGAGTAATCATCAAAGCCTGTGTGACATCGCTGGGCAGCGCTCATGAATGAGAGTTACAGACAAGCCACACACCATGCTTGCACCTGTGTGCCCTGCAGTCATGTTTTTAAACAAGTGAATATTTGAGGAGAATCAGTGGTCTGGGAGGAGAGGCTGAGGCACAGAAGGATGACAGAGATGGCCAGATAGGAATGAATAGCCCACGAGATGGAGAGTCTTAAATTGAGGGGCATAGATGCATATAAAGCAGTGGAGAAAATTCTGGACTTGGGGGCAAGGGGTGAAACAATGATGGATGTAGGCCTGAGTTCAGTCAGTACAGTCAATCCTCACATGTTTCCTTGTGCCCTTCATTGCTGACAAGTCCTAGGTGATGTGCAGGATATCGAGAAATGCAAGAATAGCCTGGGAGGGGTGGGTGAAAACCCTCTCAGAGCAGATGTTTGTCTTAGTCACATGCTGTCATTTTTGCTATCCACATGACTTTGGACACAGATGGAAGCTTCCAGCTTAATTCTCTTCTCAGCTCTGGGTCAGCTCAGCCATAAGTTCTCAGGAGTGGGCTGAGCTCTGGGAGTCTCTTTCTCATCATCCTTCCATCTCCCACCCCAGCCCTGTCTGTCAGCTTGGTCTAGGGGAAAGTGTGCAGGAGTTGGAATCAGGTGACCAGCACTGGACTCAAGAATCTACCTCTTTCTGTGTGATCTTGGACAAGTTGTCTGAATTCCTTGAGCCTTCAATTCCTTGTTCTGTGACGTCATACAATGCGAATGATGATAGTCCTGTTTTCCTTACAGAGTAGTAGTGAGGGTTATATGGACCCACTGCCTGGGAAAGTGGTTACTACCTTAAACTGAAAGCAGCAAGAAGGCTCGGCCTCATAGTGACTGAGACGTTGCTCCTCAGTTATACCTCCCTCCGTTCCCCGGCTCATTGGAAAACAATTTTGTGGCTGCAGGATGCTGAACAAACAGGGTTGAGGCCACTGAAACCTATAACAAGAGAAGAGGGATCCAGAGAACAGACGCTACTTCAGAGGAGCTCATGTCCCCAGATCCTGATGACTCTCAGACCATGGTACGGCAAGACCCTGGAGCTGTGATAGCAGCATGTCTTTCTGTGATCAAGATGGCAGCCCCCTGGAAATATGCATCGTGGTTAACACCTGCTCACACCATTCCTGCAAGGAGGGCCTGGGCACCTCAGTTAGCAATAGGCTAAAGATGAAGTGAGAGTGTGACGCGGAGGCCAAGAGCCACTGTCAGACTAAGGTTCATAACAGAGTCCCAAAAAATGGAGGCAGTGGCCCCCTGAACTTGGCACTAGTCAGGCCACCACAGGAGGGGAAAGGGAGTGTGCTCCTGGCATATGGCAACAAAACAGGCAGATCAGATTGAGGAACAGGGTCTGGAAACCATTTTCTATCAGAGTTGCTGAGGGATTGGGAGACATTTGTCTGGGAAAGATGCAACAGAGGTCTTTAAATACTTGATGGGCCAAGCTTAAAAGAAGGGAGAATCTTATTCTGAGTGCTTCATGGGACAGAAATGAGACAAATTCATGGAAATGAGAGGGCTCGGGGAGGCAGATTTCAGCTCAACCTGAAGAACTATTTCACAGCTGAGCTCCATCTGGTAGAACACACTGCCTTGCCAAGCTGTGGTGGCCACATTGCAGGGGGTTGTGAGGGGAGCCCCAGGACACCTGTTATGGACACTGAGTATGAGGAGAGTGAGTTCTGGTGATGGGAGGAAAGTTGGCTAATGTTCAACTCAGGAAAAATGAAAGTTCAACTCTAAAATTTTGCACACATATGTACATATATAGCACACACGTACACATACTGGGCATGAGCGTGTTTAATGCCAGGGCTCCTAGCCTCTTGGATACTACTAATAGTAAGAGCCACCAATTTCTGTGACCACACCCTGCCTGGCATTTTTTTTTTTTGTGAGAAGGCAGGATTTATTGAGGACAGAAAAGCTCCCACACTGGGAGGGGACCCGAGGGGTTGCCCTGCCTGGCATTTTAAATTAGTTACTATTTTTCCATTTTGCCTGACTAGAACCCACCCACATCCAGAATAGAGGTAGGGTGGTGGGATGGGGGATGCATGGGATTTGACCCCAGATGGACTTGGGTTTGCATCTCTGTCTTGCTCTTGTTAGCCAAGTAATTCCAGGCAAGTTTCTTAATTTTTTTGAAACTCAGTTTCCTCAGCTGTTTAATAGGAATAAAAATACTTGCTCTGTAATGATTTGAAGGTCAGGTGAGATGTACACACTATGAAGTAACTGTTCTGTGCTTTTTTTCCCCTCTGTCTCTCATCCGAGAGGAAATAGCAACTCTGTACTCACAGTGACAGTTCTTGCACACTCAGCCCCGGGTGCTGTGTCTTAGGCTGCTTCTCTGGGGTTCCTGAGCATCAAGTGTGACCAAATTGGATTGTGACGGGCTCTCCATCACACTGCATACCTGTTAGCTGGTCACTGACTCCCTCTCCTTCCTTTGCTGTCTGCTATTCAGGCCCTAGGTTCCAAGCTGGAACACTCTTGGACGGTATCCAGACAAGTCTAAGGGCCATTCCTCCAACAAGATGGTGAAATTTGCCCTTGGGAACCTTCTATCTGGAGTATATTCAGGCACTAGGCCTTCTTGTCCTTGCCTCAGTGTGACCTTGTCACTTGTCCAAATGACCATTCACAGAACACACAGCACAGCACAGTGATGCCAGGGAAGGAAGTACACTGGGCAGAACAAACAATGCCCTCATGGAGTCAAATTCTCACAAACTTTGTCCAGAAAGAGGTCATATTTAGAAACGGTTTTGCTTTTCTGGTTCCATGAAGACAAATAGCCAACAAACTGCTGGGACCAAGATTAAAACAAAAAGTAGGTCAACTCAGAACCTGTAAAGAGAAATAAAATAGATGCACTGATTACTTCTTTTAGGTACAAGGGAGTGACATTGGCTGAGACTGAGCTGGTTTGGGGTAGCCCAGCGCTCCTCCCCACGCAACCTTCTGCCCTTAGACGTGTTCCTCCAGAGTCTTCCATGAGTGGTTGGCAAGGGGAGAGTGGACAGAAGAGGGAGACGTGGGTCAGAGTTTGGGCCGGACCCTTCAAACCAGCCACAAGGAACTGTCAGACATGAAATGCCCTCAACAGAGATAAAATGTAGGCAGAAGAGGAACGGTCAGTTTGAAAAGGGCTTTGGACATTCAGAGTATAAACCTTTCAAGCAAATGAGAAATCTGGTCATTGTTCACTGGTTCTAAGAAAACAAAGAGGCGCCCCAAACTGCCACCCTGTAACATCCCGCCTCCCAGTGCTGAATAAAATGCGCACAACTGCTTTCTCTCACCTCCTGATCTCTCACTGTTGCCCCCAGCAGCCTCCTTTCCTTCTGTAACTTCATGTTCCTTTTCAGACAGCCCTGATGAGAACTTAAACCTGATTTTAAGGGTAAAATGTCACTGGAAGCCAGAAGGCCTCAGAATGTGATTTTCTGCCTCCCTAATTTATCTCTGACACATTGAATGACTGCCCTGTCCAGGAAGGTGGGATAGGACACTCTGAGGTGTTCTCCACGCCCCAGTGCCCAGCACTCCCAAGCACGCCTGCATGCATGAGCTTATCTCAAGCTCCAGCTACAAATTCACTTGAATTGAGAAAGGTAAGACTAGCAGCTTCATGTCTCAGAAATGACTTACAGTTGTCAGTGCCCCAGGAAGTGATGACCATGTACCATACTAACCAAAGAGCAGCACCACCATCCAAGGCAGCATGGGGCCCGTCCTGGCACAGTGGAGAGAACACTGGTCAGCCTGCGGACAGAGGCGAAGCTGGCAGAGAGCATCTGAGCCTCAGGCCCAAGGGTGGGTGGGTGATCCCTTCAACCCAGATGGCGTTACAGCTTAGTAAAAATTGTGGCAGTGGGGAAGAAATTTTAGGAGCTCAACTTAGTATTTGCTCCTTGGTTGAAGGAGTTTTGCATGAGTACTTTTTCTTAAATATGAGCATGAAGGGGTCATAAATCACCCATAAGCACTTTCTCACACTCACTTTGTGGTTCCAAAAAGCGCATGCAGGGAACCAGGATGGGACGTAGCCATGGGAAACCTCTGTTAGAAAGATCCAGAGACTGCCGTGAATTGCTTGGTTGGGAGATAGGCCAGCACTGAAAACTGAGAACACCTGCCCTCCACCCCTGAGTGACCTCCACGTTTCTGAGGGGCTCTTCTTTCTACAGAGATTCATGTCTCTCGACAGTGCAGTGAGATGGAGAGGTGGAGCCCTGGGAATGGGCTGCAGGACCCTCAGTTCAGTAGGGAACCAGGGGTTAAAGAGGTCGGAGGTTCTGAATCTGAGGCCTTAAGACTGTCAGGTTAGTATTTTGAGACAAACTCTACTTTATTTTATTTTTATTT